TAATAATAATAACAATAATAATAATAATAATAACAATAATAATAATAACGATAATAACGGATATTAATTGATAACAATTTACTGGTTAAAGCCGATGGTGTGTGTGTAGTTTAAAACTTTATCAAACAAGAAAATTTTGCTAACTCAATGATAAAATGCTAATAATTTTGATTGAAGTCGAAAATAAAATCAGAGCGCTTTGTTCCCATTTTAATGACTGACAAAATAACAGAAAAAATATGAATTTCGCCGCTCATTAAGATAAGAGGAAAATTTTTTGAAAGTTTTTTGAAGCAAATTCTGAATAATCGAATTTTCTTTTTCGTAAAAGCATTGTATGAATGAAAATGTCTAAAATTTTCAGTGATAAAATAAACGATAAAAAATAATTAGGAAAAATTTACAAACCAACAGTGCCACAAAAACTGATAACCAGAATAATAAGGCCAGTAATTATAATTAAAACAGTGGGCTCAAACATCGCCATAACTTTACTCGGATCGAATTTGTGTAGATGAAATATTATTCCAGACTTTTCTATTTGAGCCCAAAAGCCTAGACTTAATAGTCCTATGGCAATAATTAGTAGTACGTAGGAAAGGGCGAAAATGCAGTATTTGAGGCAAGGATTGACTCGAGAAGGCATTTCGAAGTCTTCGTTCCTGTTTACTTTCAGTACAACATGCCTTCCATCTTCTAGAATCACGCTGCTCGGTTTCGACAAACTGTCCACCATTTCTCATTCACTTTACTAGCTATACTTCAACGTGCACGTCTCCTCTTTAAGATTAATTTGTTTAATATCTTTCCTAGCACTTTTTGGAAATATATTATCAAACTTCATTATGCAAATTTCAGTCATTCAAATAATTGCAGCATTTTTATCAGCAAAAAACACTGCCGTTGCATAAATTGCTAAAATAAAACACACCGTTCGTAAAGTGACATTTTGGTAAGCACTCAATTCATCCCTTTATACGCATTAGTTTACCTCATATCAGGGCATAGATTGATTTATAGGAAAAACTGCGCATTCTCTGCGATTATTCAATCTATCCATTTCTACTTTGATTGATCGATTTATTTCAATTGGATAGTACTTTAGATTTGATACCTGTACAAAAAATACAGTGAGAAAGTTAATAAGTTTTGTAGTTATCTAAGAAGGTATTCTGTTACGCGTATAAATCACTGCTGCGCTCTTGACCAGTCTGAATGTATTATTGCTTAAGCTTGGAGTAGAAGACGGAGGTCGATTACTTCTTTGGCTTTATTGCAGTTTATCTTTGTTAGCTTTGCCAATTTATACAAACATTGGATAAACGATCGGCGGCATTTCTTCTTTGATATTTTCTTTTTTACTGAGTTTGCCTTAGATGATGTTAGCTTGAAAATCACTTTTTTTACTTCAAATATATGTATTCTTCCAAGACTTTATGGTAATCTCGATGAAGATTGCATAAATTACTGAGCAAAATAACGCATTTATAAATAAATATTCAACTATTTATTACTGTAATGAGCGAAACAGATAGTCACAGCACAGTAATTAATAACGAATACAGTAATACTGCTTATATCAATGATAACAAATCAAAATCTTTCAAAAGCAGTCATTATTACTGCAGCACCAAGTCTTGCTTCACTCTAATGAAAACAGTAGTACATTAACAACAAACAACAAACATTTCATTAACTCCTTGAGAAACAGTAGCCACAATATCGCAATAATAATTATTGCCACAGTAATCGTAGCGTCATAATAATTACCAAAATAACCCTAATCGTG